TCACTTCAGTACCACCCACAGTGTGCACCAATGCCTAGACAGAGGCCCCTGTGGGCAGGCTAATGCACGGATGATAACATAACCAGGATCACCACATAAGGGATCATTGAGTTGGATACCCTGTGCTAAGACAGCAGGTGTAAACTGGGGCTTATCCCAGAAGTATGATCACTTCAGTGACAGTGGCCAGCCTTGGCTGAGCTTATTCTGTTACTCACTTTCTTTAATCTTCACGGTGACCCTACATGGGAGTAACTGCCCTTTACAGGTTGTTAAGGGACTTACCAAGGTGACACTAGTTAGGAAGTGGCTGAGAAAGCTGACCCCTGAATTCAACACCTCTGAGTGCAAGTTTCAGACCCTTACTCCCCGTTGTTCCCTGGTGAAGGAATTCAGGGCTTGAAGTAGGACAGGGTAAGGTGTTGTCACCAGCTCAACTCGAAATAACTTTAGTTACCGCTCTGTCTTTGGCATCTTTGTCTACAGATCAGTAATAGTTTCGATTTCCAGGAACCTGGGGAGATTAAATGAGCTAAGGGGTAAGCAGATTGGGCATGCGAACATGCAAAATCCTCCTTTCAGGCTTATGACATGTGCAGGTTTGCTCTTGGCTCCATAAGACATCTACTCCATGGCTGTAGCACAAAGGGAAAAGTGAAAAATACTTGTTATGGTTTATATCTGGGTGTCCCCCGCAAAGCCTCATGTGGTCATGGGGCAGGTTTTTAGAGTTTGATTAATTATGGGTGTGAGAGCTACACCACCGTGGGGTGGATAATTTGCATGTGTAAGGGAGAGAAAGAGGCTGCTTACCTCCATTCATCCTTTTTGTGCTTGTTGTTTTTGCTGTGTTCTGGCACCATGAGCTGTAGCCCTCTGCCATGTGCCACTCTGCCTTGTAACCTGCCAAGTATGGACTGAAACCTCCACAAACTGTAAGCGAAATAAACCTTTCCTTCCTTAATTTTGGGCGTCAAGTATTTTGTCCAAGCAACGAGAGAAAAGTAACCAAGACAATACTGTAACAGGGTTCAGGGTGAGCTCGCAAGAGGCCGCATGACCTAACGGCTAGAGTTGTGCCATTTTGCATAAGATGTGGGTTCAGGCTGAGGCACTGGGATATATATAGCTATTTCTCTGAAGATGATATAGAAATGAACAACGAGCACATGAAAAACTGCTCAGCATCATACTTTCATGAAAATGGCCATCAAAACTGTAGTGAAATATCATATAGTGCTCAGAGGATGGCTAATATAAAAAAAAGGCAGACAGTCACAGTATGGTAGGAAGAATATCTGGTAGGCAAACTGGTGCACCTTATAGTTTGCTACAGGTTAAACATAGAGTTACCATGTGACCTAGCAATCCCTCTCCTAGGTGTAATACTGAGAGATTTGAAAGCATATGTCCACACAAAAACTTGTACAGGGATGTCTATAGATGTATAAAACATTATTCATAATAGTTAGAAAATGGAAACAACCTAGATGTCCATCAACTGTGGTGATATAGCCACACAATGGAATAATGTTCAGCAGAAAGAGAAGACATAAATTCCTGGTACACACTGTCAAGTAAAAGAAACCAGGCACAGAAGTCCATGCACTGTGAGACTCCACAGATGCAAAGTGTCTAGAATAGATAGCTCCCAGGAGAAGGAAAGAGATTGCTGGCTGCTTTGCATGGGAGGGAAATGGGGCAGAAGAGGCAGAGTCTGGAAAATATTTTACAATTCCTGTAGATAATAACGGCAGTGTGAATGTACTAAAGCCTGTGAAGTGTATACTTTAAAGAGGACAATCTAGTAGTATGTGAATTACATCTCGATAAAGCGGTTCTAAAAAGTCCGGGCTCTGCTGTTGACTTTTGGTATAAGTGCTGTGTAAAGCAGTGCTCATTACAGAGCCTTGGGAACCCAGGGAGCAGGAGCTGCACCCTGTGACATTCTCCACACAGTGACTGATACTGCAAGTATAATAAGCAGCAACCAGACTGACGGTTGTCCTTCACACCTGGGCTCCCCCCTGTCCCTTCTGAAGCGTGGGTCGGTAGTGCTTTCACTGTCAACTGGAATTCATGACACGTGAGGACACATGAAGACTGACCCTGTTGCCACACCCTCACTTGTGCACCCATCCAGTAAAATTACAGCCATATGACTCTGATATCTGTTATTTATTTCTAACTAATATAACTGGGACCTTGCTCAAGATGTGCTTGTGAAAAATTACCCTTTTAATGCCGGAACGTTTAATGAGAAACTGTATTATCTACTGCATAAGTGCCCCTCATGCAAATTAGCTTGGCCCTCGGTCCTAATCTAAATTGGGCTCACCACTTTTCCATGAATGGCCTAATATTTTCTTATTAATCTCTGCCCTTTTTCACCTGACCTGGCTCTGCCTCCTCTTCGACGCTCCTCCATTGCAGTGCTCTGCCCATCTAGGACTGTTCCAGACTCATAGACCTGAGTCTGGACCTGACTGGTTGCTGGACGTTGCACAGTCTTCCTTCAGGCTGCCTCACCATCCCCAGTGGAGCTGTCGTGCTGCCAGGGTATTTATATTTAACATCAGCAGAATTGGGTCAAATGAGTTTTGATGCCCAGAGAAGTTGGGCTTTAGAGAGAAGTTGGACAGATGAGAAGCAATTCATCATAGTGACTAAGAAGACAACCTTGGAAACACAGAGCACAGGCAAACTCAAAGCATGAGCTTTGGCCCCAGACGCTTCTGGGTCAGGTCCTACTCATTCTGAGCTTGGAGAAGTGACGTAGCCTCGCAGGTCCTCAATTTCATTATTTGTAAGACCTGACTAATGGTGCCTTCCTCTAGGATTTTCTTCAGAGACTGAACAAGCTGATACATGTCATGTGCTTTGTGATAGAGGCCACACGGAGATGTGATGACAGCTGAGTTTTGGGTAGTCCCAGTAGTGAGAGGGGGCCATCAGTGGCTGAAACAGTGTCACATACTGCAGAGGCAGAGGTGGTGTTTGAGATAGAGCAAGATGACCTCAGTCCAAGGCGTAGGTGGCCCCTCCCAGACTCGGCATAGAAGACAGGAAGAAGGGGCCATGGCACCAGGGGTCTTTTTGCTTAGCTGGACGTCCGCAGAAAGTAAATCATGACAAAGGTTCTCAGCACTTATCTCTGACATCTGCCCTCACAAAACTCTGTGCTTTCATTTTAGCCTTCATTGCAGTTTCTGACTAATCATCTCAGCATCTTCTTGCTGTATGAAATACTTTCAAAGGCTTCGATGTGCTAGACCTGAGAGGGTCCAGTGGATAAAACTGATAACTGAGACTTGGGAGCCATATGTCCAGGCCCGGCCCTGCAGATATCCCTCTAGGCCTGTCTTTCTCTAGCCGTGTAACTTACACAGGCTCTTTTTCCTGGGCTGATCACAGAGATTTCAGCTACCGGTTACAGGAAGCTTATGAGCAGGTGAATCCATGATTCACATGCAGTCCCACTGAAGTTACTAATCATATGGTACTAGTGCAGAAAGGTAGTTACTTGGTCCTCATTCAGCAGGTAAGGAACAAAGGCTCAGACAGGCTAAGTGACCTACAAGGTGACTTACAAGGAAAACCTTACACATGCAGATTAATGCACTCTACATTTTATTTGCAGTCACTAAAACTTGGGCTTCTGGGGACACAGATTTTATCTCCTTCATGTGTTGCCAGTGAGTAATAGTATTTGACACAAGAAGAGACACTCAGTAAAGGATGAACAAATAAATGAATGAAGTAAAAGTCATATTTTGTCAATAAAAAGGCACTACATTATGGCTAGCTGTTGTTTTTTGTTGAAGTTTGGTTTGGGAGCTTTTTTGTATGTTTTAAGCATGTGCTCAGATGATTCTGAACCCCACATTCTAGGAATACCTTGGTTTGCACCTAACATAATGTTGGTGGAGAGAAGTGGGTCCCTTGGCTTTGATGGCCTGAGCTGTAGGTTTCTGACCACCAGAGGAAGCAGAATAAAGGAAGAATCAGGATAGGAGCAAATGATACCACGAGAGCCAACTATCAGCTCTTGAAGTTCTCTAGGTTTTAAGAAACATGTCTGCAATGTTCAGGCCTCTGACCAGGCAGTGTGTTGAGGTTAGAGAGGGGATTGAATTCCTATGTATCCATCCTGTTTCTGATTGAATTTGGAGAAGCTGACTGAATTCCATGACCACCGTCATCTTTGGAAGATGAAAATGGTTTGGTTGTTTTGAAGTGTGCACTTAAGGCTTACAAAACATCTGGCATGCAGCCCTTGCCGAGGTCACGGTGACTTTATGGTCCTTACTTCCTGTGCATATATGTGAACTCTGGGCTAATGTCTCTTAGCAAAATGTTCTGGTAGTAATTATTGAGAGCACCTTTTGCAAGATGTGGACAACACCAAGTAGCATGGAAGCCTGTTTCTCTACACATATGAGTTAGCAGGACAGATATCCTAAAACTGGTTTTTGATAATTGTGGTGGGTTATTAGGTGAAGTGAAGTGATTACTCTGAGGTTTCACTAAAAGCCACCCATGGAATTGGGTGTAAAGAGGGTCTTAGACACTGGCTAGAGCACTGTTAAATGCTGGAAATCCCGGAAGCTCAGTGCTTATGGGCCAGCAAGACTTTTGAACATGAATCCTTGTAGGTTGTTATCATTGGTTGAGTACCTAGTGTGGATCAAACACAACATAAAATGCTCTACACATATTATCTCATTTATTTATCTTAATACTCAACTGGGGTGGTTATTTTTAACTTTTTTCATCCTAAGCAAACTAAGACTCATAGAGACGTAATTTACCTCAGGATTTAAATGAATAGAGCCACAATTTGCATGTAGGAATATTACTATTTTTTTCTCCCATGCTTAGTGAATTCACTTTACTGGAATAAAGATGAAACCAGATGACCCTTGGAGCGACCCCTGCAAGAATCCAGGCCATGGGGCTTGAGAAACCTTGTATCTGAATCTGTTTTTTTGTGTTTCCAGGTCAGGATCGCAGTGAAGCTACTTTGATAAAAAGGTTCAAAGGTGAAGGGGTCCGGTACAAAGCCAAACTGATTGGGATTGAAGAAGTTTCCGCAGCTCGGGGAGACAAGTTATGTCAAGATTCCATGATGAAACTCAAGGTGCTGTGCATACATTTTGGTATAAATACCCCCGGTTTAATGGGACGAAGGGAAAGAGATGATTGCCATTGCTATGGAAATAACCATATTTATTTATTGGCAAATCACTTGATTTATGGCTGAGTCCCCTATGTACTGCTTGTGAAAAGAGTCAATGATTGAACAAATGTTAATTGAACAGCTACTATATTGAGGTATTTTGTCACATCTTGTTTTATGTTTTTGACTGTATCATCTGGTATATAATTTAATTTTATCTTTATTGAGTGAACCCTTCAAAGGCAAAATTCTCAAATATAGACTTATCAACTTGCTTAGTCCTACACATTTTATGAATTTTTGTCACTGTGGTTTTTGAATAACTTTTACATATTTTGTGATATGGTAAAAAATGTTAAAGTATAAGCTGATTTTATTCATTTTTATAATTTGTATAAGTACATTTTGAACACTTAAAATTAAGAGAAAATAATACTTTAAGGTAATATATAACTAGATATTGGAGTTTTGAGATGTCACAAGGACATTCGTGATGTTTCTAAATGCTATAAAGGAACCTTTTCACTGAAAATGTAAAGAAAGAAATTGGAAAATTTTTAAATATATAAAAACATATTATCTTATTTAAAAGTCCTAAAATATCCAAAAAATACTATTTGATCCCATGTTTTTGTCTCCATATATTTTAAGTGATTTTAAAATATTGGAAAAGCAAATGGCTTAAAAGACTGAAAATATTTTATGTGTTTAAATCATGTACAATGTTTTACTGACTATAAAGTTTACTTGTACTCATTACAAATTATTTTCAAAATATAAAGAAGTATAAGGAGGAAATCTGAAATAATCCAAAATCTCACAAGAAAATCAATGTCAACATTTTGTGTGTAATCTATACCTGTATAAGGGTTATCAAAATGCATGGTGGCCATTTATGAACTTTCTGCCTACCCCTTTGTCTTCAAGATTTCTACCTACTTTCTCTTCTAGTAGATTTAGTGTTTCTGTTTTAATATTTAGACCTTTGATCCATTCTGACTTGTTTAGTGCATGGTGATAGATATGAGTCTACTTTTAGTCTTCAGCACATGGAAAGCCAGTTTTCCCAGCACCGTTTATGAAAGAGGCTATCTTTCTTCCAGTGAACATGTTTGGCTCCTTTGTCAAAAGATAAGGTGGCTGAGTGTGTTTGTAGTTGTGTCTGCATTTCTAATCTGTAAAAGAATGCATGATGAATATGGTGAATGTTTAAATAAAGCAGTTTTTTAAAAATACTAAAGGACACATTGCCTTTCAGCCTCCTTAGAATATTCTCCCACCCTTCAAACATGCTTATCCCCACATTCTTGCCACTTTCTGAAGCAGTTCTGGAAGTCTTCTTCCTGAGTACTTTACTTTACTAGGTGTTTCAAAAACTGCGGGAAACACTGCTGCTGAGTGCCCTCCAAAGGAAAGGTGGCTGTCACACATTACGGGCTGTCCTCATCCCTCTGTTCACTGGGCCTGGGAACTTAAAGACCTTTCCCAAAGTCAAGATGACCATGAAAAATACACTTTTTGAATCAATTAAAGACATGGACACAGCCTTCACAGTACGACTGAAGACATTCACGAAAGAGGACTTCTAGAACTGCGTCAGAAAGTGGCAAGAATGATGGGAGAAATGTGTTCAAAGTTGGGAGAGCGCATTTTTAGGGGATTTTTAATTCAAACATTCACTGTGTTTTTAGATCTTATCTCATATGTATAACATTGAAATTATCACTTACATAGTTTGTGATAATAATGGGTTTGTCTTTCTTTCCTAATCTAATAATCATGTCAGCTTTTTTTTGTAACTTTAAATAGTCCAGAAGGACACAATTTGGTTAGTGAAATATTTTTGAGTACAATAAAAAGAAAATAACACCACGCCTGGCCTAGTGCCTAGTAGCAGTAAATGAGATAAAATCTGTAAAACACTTTTTGTATCCCCTTTCCTTTCCTTCATGCTTAATAAATCACAGCTATTATTTTTGTTTATTCTGTTTTTTAGCAGTACAACATCTGTATATATTACCTTCTCTTGTTTTTTTTAAGCTATTATAAAAACTAATTTTATTGTAATAGTTATGCATCTAGTAGACAGTATACTAGAAAAAGGTATAAAAAGTATAAAAATCATGAGTTCACAGATCATCACCTTGAAAGGAGCTAATATACCTTTCTAAGATAATTAAGCAGTGCTGTTAGATTAAAAAGTATCCAATAATGATCACCCTTTCTCTTCTAAGTTTAAAAATGAATACTAAATAGATGAAGCAGTTGGAGCAGAAGAATTCTAAATTATAGCTTTATGACTGATAAATGCTGGCCAGGAGGATGACTTGGACACACTGCCACTGTGGACATTCTTGAATGAAATGGGTTATGCCACTAATTTTGTAGGAGAGTCAGATGATTACAGCCCCCCTGCTCCCCCAAACCTTGTGCTGCCCCAAAGTAGGCCCCATACTTCAAGTCAGAATGCAGCCTCTCTGCAAGCAGGTGGATTGTGCAGAGAGGCTGGAAGAGATTGAGCCTCCCGTGTGCCACTTCTTCAAACTTCTCTATCAAATCGAGCTCATCTGCAAACCTAAGGGACCTAGGGACAGGCAAGAATGAAGGCCTGGGTCCTGATTCTTGCTGAAGTCCCTCTTTAGTGAATAAGAAAGCAAATAAATGGAGATTTACTTGTGATGAAGCTTAATTAAAAGACATCAAGAAAATGTTACCACACAATCCTCTAAGCTGATTCTCACAAGTCTGTGAGAAGGTGAAAGAAGCTTGTGCATCCTCTGCCTAGGAGATATAATAGCCTTTCACTTGCACCTCTCACCGAGTCACAGAGTGCCTAATGGCCCCCCGCCTCTGGAGCACAAAGGTCTTAGTGGATATGAGGCTCTGGTTCCTGAAAAATCCCCCGCAGGATGAACATTGGCTAAGCAAGCTGGATGAGGCCTGGCAATGACTGCCAACCTTTTGTATGCAGGTTTACATGCATGGTGTGTGTGTGTGTGTGTGTGTGTGTGTGTGTGTGTGTGTGTGTGTGTTATCTGCAGTGAATGTTCCATCTGTCATCCCTCAGAACCATGGGGTCTCCAAAGCCCTGCGAGTTTGTCCTGCTATAACACTCCTGTCAGATGCGCTGAACTTGTTGAGGGGTCTGGGGTCCCAGACAATTGTGTTTCATTATTTGCAAGTTGCCGAGAAGAATGTTGACATTTCAGCTCCCAGTGGTTTTTCTTTAAGAAACACAGAAACATAAATGATCGATTCTCCATTTGGCCACCTGCCCAGGAAAGTAAGAGAAAGAGAAGAATAAAATAGTTCTTAGCCTTGAAGAGGCTGGCTTGCTCAGATTGTGGTGTATGGGAAATTTTAAAAAGGAGTTTGCCTGTGCTAGACTTTCTGAAGCTGGTTAATTTTCCTATTTTAGAGAATTTTCTCTGAATTACAGAGGCTTTTGAGGTTATTCACGGCGTAAGTGCGAGTGGCTGTCTACCTGCCAAGACGTTCTTGTCATGGTCATCATCATTGTCGTCATTGTTGTCATTATCTCAATTCAGTTTTCAGTGAGAAAAGCACTTTAGTGTCTCTTTTCATCTTATGGGCTATATAGTAGCCTCCTTGTTTCATAAGTGAGAAATCTGAGTTCAAAGAAAAAATCTGAGTTAAAGCATTTGCCCTGCAATCTTCATTTAGTGTGAGCAACCCAGAATTCAAACCTCAAACTCCAGAGGCCAGTGTTTAACAAAACATCCTTTAGCACCTAATTGTATTCTGTTTTGTATTTACATTTACTTTAGCATAACTCCCCAACTTATGTCAATATCCTGCCATTAAGTTACTACCTAATATTCACACATTACTGCCCTCGAAAATAGTCACCTTTCAGAGGCATTGGCTAAAATGCTGGTGCTTGAAATTAAGAGAGAGAATGAGATCTCTCAAAGACAGTACATTACTCAGCTTTCTTGTTGCATGTACAAAATACCCAACATCTGCAATTTAAAAGGGGGAGAGGTTTGACTTGTTTCACATTTTCAGAAGATTCAGTCCATGGTCTGGCTGGCTCCAAAGCAGAAACATCATGATGGAAGGATTTGGTTGAGGAAAACTGTTCCCCTCATGGCAGCCAGAGGCAGAGGAGGTTGGAAAGAGTGGCAGAGAAGAAAGAACCAGGAACCAAATATAGATCCGAGTTCATTCTCCTATGGCCTACCCACAAACACCCAAAATGTGCTTTTTGAATCCCCAAGGTGACTCCTAATCCAATCAAATTGGTAATTAAGCTTAACTGTCATACTGAGAGTTTCAGTCAGGGTGACAAACAAGGGTGGTGAAGCACCCAGTTTAATATCCATGAGAGACTGTTATCCCATCTAGGAGAAGATCTGTCTATTGGAACTCAACAAAAGCAGCATAGATGACAGGGAGAAAAAAGTCAACCACCACAGACATAGATCAAGGTTGATGACGAAGTAAAGCAAATTCCTTTGATGTCTTCCTCCTACCCTCTTTTCTCCTGCCTGTGTCTTGCAGGCTGAAACCCACTAAAAGCTAGGGGAAGGAAGATCAGGACACAGGGAGTGCAGTCTGCAGTGGCTTTGGGGGCATAAAACAGGATAAAGAAAGATGATTGCATTCCCTTTTTAAACTAGGAAACATGAAATTTAGAATGAAATTAAACCATATAAGTAGAGAGCTGAGAATGGTGATCAAGTTGATTCCACAGGACTTTCTGGACCAGCATCCTCAGGTTTCCTGTCTTGATGTTTATACGTTGCCGAACCTGTTCCCTGAGATCAGGCTCGTAACATCTTGTGCATGCACCATGCTGTGAGTCTTCTCAAACCCCTTTCTTGTGTGTCATCTGAACTGATTCATATAGCATTCCTTGAGCCAGATAGGGCAATCCATTAATCCTGACTGGCCTGCCTGACACTTTCTCTAGATATAAATTTCTCCACTGAGACACTGTCCACCTGTGACCTGCCCTAGGAATGCCTGTATCAATTATTTCACACAGTTCCTAGTACATGCTGTTGCTTAATAATGTCAATATTAGTACAAGTAACGATGACTATTGTATACTAAGTGTTCCCTGCACTATGAGATAAGAAATACTCTCATTTTAGAGTTCCTCTTCACCAAGGATTTAGGAAGCTAGTGGCTCTGCCTAGCTATTCTGGGAAACATTTGGACACATTTGCAGTATGGCGTGCACCATTGCATGGTTGGTTTTAAAAACCTGTTTCTCAGAAAAGGTTCTGCAAGGAAAAGTAATAGTAGAAGGCATCTTACTTTAAAATCAGAAAAATGACTGCCTAGGTTTCAGTTCCGGAACTTACTTGCTTCTTTAGGTTTGGTGAGGTCACTTAACCCTTGACCTTCTGTTTACCCACTGGTGAGAGGAAGGAAGTAATTCTTAATTCCAAGGACTGTTGTGTGGTCTAAATTATAGGACATTTAAGAAGACGTCTAGCAGATAATAGCCACCCCAGTAAATGTCTGACTCCTCAGATTCTTCCTTCTAATGATGATATACAAGGTCAAGTATCCAATACTGTGCAGAGCCTGGAACAGGACCCATGCGCACCTGTCCTACTGCCCCAGATCTGCCTTGGGGACCCCTATTTCTTCTGTACAGTGCAGGGACTCATCTTGGGGGACAAGAGCCCTGGTGTGAACTGTGGTGACAGGACTACCTAGACTCCGTGCAGCTTAACGCAGAGTCCTGTCTTACAAGAGAAACGTGCCTAATCAGACTGGACATTCACTTCCCCAAAGGTAACACTATGCACATGGTCTTTCTTTCACTTTTCGTGTGAAGCCCACACCAGCAGTCCCACGCATGGATGCTCTAAGAATATGCAGGAGATTCTCTGCATTCTTTTCATGTATAACCCTGTTCTGCCAGAAAATTCTTTTCTGGCTACTTGGAACAAGCAAGCAAAGATGGCCTCAGGACCCAGTGGGTACTACCATGTGCCAGGAAGTAGGCTCCAAGGCAGGGTGGCATGGCAGAGGGGCAATAGTTCATGGTGGCTGGGGCAGTGAAAGACAGCAAAAACAGCAAAAGCAAAAAGGGAGGGAGAGCAAGCCTCTTTTCCTCCCTGATATGTGTGCAAGCTACCTGCTCTAGGATGGTTCTATACACCCACACCATCTCCATGCCCTCCTCTTGCACAGGATGAGGATGTTTATAAAGTGAGGACCCTGGCCCCTGCTGACACTTAGTTAAACTTCTGAACTTCTCCAGTTGATACACCGTATCATCCTCCAGGGGTCCTCCAAGGCATCCACAGTGAATTAAAAAGCAAGCTGCACAATGAGGCATTTAGAAACTACTGAGTAAAAGAACAGACTGTGCGTACCACTGTGCACAGGCAGGGAAAGAGCAGTGAGCTGAGCAGTACTGTATCCCTTTCAGATGCAAGCACATTGTGCAGAGAACCCGGAAGGGTGAAAGGAAAGGTGTACACATGATTAGTGACGTTGGTTGATGATATCCGACATGCCTCTGTGACCAGAGGGAATTTTCAAATGAAAACACTCAAGTAAAAATCGTGTCCTTCCTTTCAACAGGGTGTTGTTGCTGGCGCTCGTTCCAAAGGAGAACACAAACAGAAAATCTTTTTAACCATCTCTTTTGGAGGAATCAAAATCTTTGATGAAAAGACCGGGGTAAGTGAAAGAATCACATGGCAGTGTGAAATTGAACCCATTGACAGATGTGCCCTTAAAGCCTCTCCTCTCTGGGCAGGAATATCAAACAAGCATAAAAACACATAAAGCAACTGACACACTTGATCAGCTGCGATCGTCCATCAAAGCAAGTCTCTTTGGTGACTTGGCCACAGTGTAACTGCATTGTGCTCCTGATGGTGTAATTGTGATAAAAGTGTCACATCAACCTGGTGATCTAATGGGAGATTGATGGGCTCTGAAGAACAGTGATATTGTGACAGTTTACATTATATTTCTCAGTGTGCTGGCAACTTTGATGGCAGGCCTACTACAAGGGGACACACTGGACTTGGTCAAAGCATCCAGACTCTATTGAATGTAACCTGTAGCGTGTTACAATTGCTATAATCAAAAAGAGTTCTCAATCATAAAAACAGGGATATGGTTCAGCGGCACAAGGGCCTCCCTAGCAAGCACAAGGTCCTGAGTTCAATTCCCAGTACCCCCCACAAAAAAAAATCAGTCATAAAAACAATCTATCTCTGTACTGGCAGGAAATGTAAAGCCAGATATGTTTGTTGAACCCAGCAAAGAAGTGGTTTGTGTTTTCACCAGCCTCACTTCTGCAATTAACTCCAGACTCATCCCCAGAGCTTGCCCAACACTGTAGGTCTTACTCATCAGTGGTACAGAAAATGGAAAAAACCTTCTATGATCTTGTACTGAGAGAGGCTCCAGTGGTTGCATTTTTCCTTTTATTCATTTCATGTTTTACAGTGTATAAAGCGCCTCCACATGTATCACCTCCTCTGAACTTCCCAAAGATGATTTATCAAGTGCTTGACCAGCCAAGTTATTTGACCTTGCTCATTTTGCATTATTAGTTTCTTGTCTTTGTTCTGACTAGTATCATAAGGTTGGTAGGATTATAATTTAAAAATAAAAAGGTTTTTTCTTGAAAAAATATTACTTCTAAATACCAACTGTGAGAAGCAACAGTGTTCGTTAGAGCATTATTCACAATTAAAAGGTAGGAGCAACCCAAATGTCCAATGATGCGTGATTAGATAAGCCAAATGGAGCACGGATACAGAATGGAAGGTTGTAGGGACCTAATTCAGGCACATGGCTACAACCCGAATGAAGCCTGAGGACAGTATGCTGATGAAGTAAGCTAGGCACTAAAAGACAGTCACTGCAATTCTTCTTTTTTTAAATTTTTTTTTTTAATTTTTTGAGCAGGATCTCACTGTGCAATTCAGGCTGGCCTTGAGCTCACTTTGTAGTCCAGGCTGGTCTTGAACTCATAACGATCCTCCTGCCTCAGCCTCCTGAGTAGTGGGATTACAGGTGTGCACCACCAGGCCTGGCCACTGTAATTCTTCTTAAAGGAGGTGCCTAGAGTAGTCAAAACCATGGAGACAGAAAGGGGAAAGATGTTACCCAGGGTTGGGGAAAGGAAGAGCGAGAAGGTACTGTTCAGTGCCCGTGGGGTTTGGAAAAATGAAAATATTCTAGGGATGCGTGGTGGTGATTGTTGCACCAGAAAGAGAATCACAGAGTGCCACTGAACTGTACCCTTAAAAATAGTTAATGTGCTAAATTTTATGTCGCATATATTTCACCATAAAAAGCAACTAGTAATAATGCAGTTTGTAGAGTACCTCCCATATATAAGATGGATCTTTGTCATTTTACATTGTTTCAGCCTCTCATCAATTCTATAAGAGCAGCTACACTATTCCTTGATTTTCTGCTCCTGTAGTGAAACAGAGGCAGACTAGCATTATCTAGGAAAGAGATTGATGTCTCTCACAGTTCTAGGGGTTTGAAGACACAGCCCTAGGTGAGTGGCAATACTCCAACACTGTGAGCATGTGTGGGAGGGAAAAGTTACATCTTAAAAGAAAAAGTCAGGAGCCAGGGCTTCTGTGTCCCTTCTGAGGGCCTCCTGCCCAGGGCCCACAGAGCTCATGGAAGGAAGCCCACCACCTCCTAACATTACCATACTGAAGACCATGCCTCAGGCACAGGAACACTTGGAAGATGCACTCAACCTATAACCAAGCCACCTTACTGAGTGCACATTACATGCCAGGCATGGTCTAAAACCCTCCATCCATACCAGGGTACTTAATCCACACAGTCACCCATGTGATGCTGGTATCATTTTTCGCTATTTTACAGTTGGAGGCCCCAAAGACAGAAAAGTTTGCATAACTTTCTAAGCATGAGTGGTGAGCAGAGACAGAGTCAGAACCCAAATAGTCTGGCCCACAAGTCCTTACGCGCATCCATGATGCTGGTTATCTCTTTAGATAAGTGACTGTTCTAGATCTCCCTATGTTATACATATTCTTTATGAGGAAGCCAGTCAGGGGCTGCCATAACAGAGGACACATGAGAGGTTAAGTTAAAAACATAGCCTACTTTACTAATAAGTTCTGGATGCAGGAGCCACAGTGCACCACACAGGCTTACACAGGAGACACCAGGGTGGTCAGGGCAAAAGGTGGGAGTGGAGAGAACACCAGGCCAGTGGCCTGTGTTGGAATTTCCACAGAAAATACAAGGAGGGCAGGTGGGCAGTCAGGATTAGCTGATTTGAATGTTTTCTTCGGGCTGTGAGCCAGGATAGTCCTAGGTGTAGGTAGTCCTAGATGCAGCTGGCTGCAGGATGATTATAGGATAGGGGCCAGTCGGAGGCAGTCTTACCCTGGACTGGTTAGTTTGCCTATCATAGACATGGACCCAGACGATCCTAGCTAAGAACTAGTTAACCCTGGGTAGGATGGTGTCTCCCTAGTCAGAAAGGTATTTGTAAAATCAAAGCCATCGTAATATTCAGAAAATTTTTAAAAGTATTTACAGTACAACCCAGAATGCAGTAAACGAAGTAGAGATTTAACCTCAGTTTGGCCTGAACCAAAAATCAGTGTCATTTAGCTCAAAAAGATGGGCCTCCCTGTGGATGCATAGTGGAAGGAAGGTTTGAACACAGCATTGGTAGAAAATGGGCTTCACCTAAGCTGCTCCTTCCTCCATTAAAGTATGGCTTCAGAAGCTAGGGAAGAAATTCCATTTCCTGGAAAGATTACATTCTGGAGCCTTTATTTAGTTTTCAATAAGATCTTGGCAGGTCAAGGGGTATCCTGGTCCGGAGGACGGAAAGAGCAGACTATAGGGACTGTGCTGGGCCAAGGCTGTTTGCCACAGATAGCATGTCAGGGGATCCTGTGACACATGTCAGGGGATCTTGCTGAGCACAATCTGGAGAGCACTGCTGATCCTTCAGCTCCCTCCTGGATGCCAAGCAAGGCAGGTCAAGCCTAACAGAGAGATCCTTTCACAATGATTTATATGTCCCAATTTGAGGATGTCATCTCCAGCCCCTTCCCAGCTCCAGCCCTGTCTATCACCATGACAACTGGCATCGTCCAAGGGCTAAAGCGGAAGCAGGGCCACAGGGTGTCTGGCATGTTATCTTGTTTGGGGCTATGGTTCAGGCTGTGTGTCCCTCACCATCACATAGGCTGTGCCCGGATAATTAAAGTCCTAATCGCCTAGGTTTTAACTAATAAACAGAGTTAGCTCACATTCTTTACCTTTATCTACCTTCTCTTTCAAAGGTGGCTGCGTCAACTGGCCCCCAGAGATACTACCTAATCTTGGAGTAGAACTTTGGATTATATGGACACAAAGAATACACTAATAAAATCATTATTTTTTCCTAGAACTGTTTTGCTTGGTGGAGAAAATGTTAGATCCCTAGTGGAAAATCAGGAAACAGGCAGTTAAATGTTTTCTCTCTGGCTTAGTTTACTCTGGTTCTGTTTAATTAACATCAGGCTCCTGTACCACCAGGCTTCTGTGACCTTAGCTTGTTCATATGCCTCAACACAAGTCCTGGGGAAAATGGTCCGATGGATTGAATTTGTTTAAATCTGAAGTAGAGATGGTGAAAGTGTAAAGAGCTGTCTAGTAGAAGGAGTTGACTGCTCTGTAGAACCTCGAGGAAGGGAGCCTAGACTTGTTGATGGAAGGTTGTATTGGGGCAGTTCCAGTTTACCAGTGATCTCTTAGGCAGAGCTGCTCAACAGTGAGATGGGCTGCTGTCTTGGTTACTTTTCTTTCATTGCTGAGACAAAATACCCAATGCCCAAAATTAAGGAAGGAAAGGTTTATTGAGCTCACAGTTTGTGGAGGTTTCAGTCCATACTTGGCTGGCTCCAAGGCAGAGTGACACATGGCAGAGGGCAACAGTTCATGGTAGGGGAAGACAGCAAAAGCAGTAAGAGCAAAAGGAGGGAGGACAGCAAGCAGCCTCTTTCCCCTCCTTACATTGTGTGCAAACTGCCTGCCCCATGACTGCATGAGGATTTGGGGGGACATCCGGACACAAACCATAACGGCTACTTTCCATGTGAGTGAATTTACCATCGCTAGGGGAATCAAACAAGGCTCAGATGATGGTATATTGTTGAAGGCAGTCAGGTAGTAGGTGATGTGTTAAGCAAAGCCACATCTAAGTTGATTTCTGGGATGAGAATTTTAAGATTCTGTTTCTAACTTGAAGTACTGTGTGCTGATGTTTTTTGTTTGAAAACCCTTGGTGGAAGATTATGAGCAGGAACAGTTTACAGAACCTTTGTCCCTGCCCAGCAGGGGACTGACTGAATTGTTCAGGAAGGAAATCTAAGTGAAGTATTTTTCTCTCCATATCAAAGAAACGGAAAACTAGGTCTTTGTCATTTGGAATGACAAATCTTAGTTGTTTATCTTGTCTAAGGTATTTTTGCTCAAGCTTGACTGCACTTTTTTTAAAAGCTGAGAAAAGAAACATTTGCAGAACGTGACAATAGCTAGAATTTTAAAATCCAAAAGCTGTCAAAAATGTTTTGATCCCAATTAAAGAGACCCTTTGCAGCAATTTACACCCTGTCTTGAATTTCAAAGAACTCCTGATCCCAATCCTTATATGAGAAAATTTTGTTTTA